AATATGTAAGATATAGGCTGAATAAGGATATTAAAAAGTGACATATAATTTTTTTTAAAAAAGGTGTGTGTATATCTATCATAGCAGGAGTATAATGGACAAGGCGAGAAAATAACAAGAATAATGAACAACCATATACCAGAGACATTTTGCGGGGGTGGAGTAGGGAATGGGATCAAAAATGGGGGTGGGGAGAGGAAAGTGCAGGGATTATGGTGATGGTACATGGGTGACTTGGTAATGGGAAACCCGCAGGGATTACAATTGAGATGGAAAAAAAAAATGAACAAAATGATGTAAAAATAAACTGTTATAGAAAAAAAGTGTGTAGTGTGTATATCAAAACAAAAAATCAGTTGCACAATGGTTTGATTAAGTTTTAGGAAAAATCAAGTCAGTATATTATGCTTTAAAAAAGAAGTCCACAAGGGGTTAAGTTTCAGCACTAAGTTTCAGTGGGCAGCCACTGCAGCAGGAGTTCTATCCCATATTCCAGGCCAGGGAGCTGACCCACATTGCACAACAGACCCCTTCTGTCTCCCTGCTGCTCCCCTCAGCAATATATTTCAGGGGATCTGCCTGTTCTGCACCCTACTCTGTCTCTGGGGAATCCTCTCACCCCTCTCACCTCTGGCCTCACCCCAAGATAAATAAATAAATTTTTTTTAAAAAAGAATAAAAAAATCATAAAAAGTAAAGTGATTTTGAAATATGATTTAGCTATTTGTATAATTTAGATATATATATATCTGATTTGTATGTGTGTGTGTGTATGATCAACTTAATAAGTAATTTATGTCTCCTTTGGGTAATGTAATATGGTAGGTAGAATATGAAGGATGTGATTTATTTTATACAATAATTACCAGCTTATGCTGGGTAGCAGAAAATCCAGAGTAGCATTTAGTAAAGGAGATAAATAATGTGTAATTATCTGTTTAAGTACATTTTTTTAACTTATGTTTTGAGGATGAAATTTTATTTTAGTGTCTTATTAAGAAACTGAAAAATAAGAATTGCTTTAAAATCAAATTAGAGGGCCTCCCTAGTTGCACAAGGGGTTAAGATTCAGCATTCTTAAGCTATCTGCAGCAGCTACTGCAGTATAAGTTCGATCCCCGGCCAGGGAGGTAACCCACATGGTACAGCAGATCTCTCCTGTCTCTCCCTCTGCTCCCCTCAGCAGTGTATTTTAGTCCATCTGCCTGTTCTGCTCCCCACTCTGTCTCTGAATTTTCTCACCCCCCACCTTGCATCTTTGGCCTCTTGTATGCATAAATAAATCTTTTTTGAAAGTCAAATTAGGAAGGACATTTGCATAAGAAAAAAACAAGATAGCATAAGGAAAAAAATTTAATGGTTAAATAGTAAAGATTTTTAAAATATAAAAGCCTTAAGTATTGTTTCCTAATAAGCATGCCATGTTTGATTACTGTCTGAATGTCACTTAGGTGATCAAATAGTAAAAATATGTATATGTATTTGCTGTTTAAAAAAAAAAAGTATGGCCCTCCCTGGTGGC